ATTATAATAATTGTTTTTTGAAATCGACATCAAAAATAATTTCAAAAAAATAAAATAAAAATTAAAAAAAAATAAATTTTATCAAAACAACAAATTTTTAATAAAATTAATTTTTTATATTTTTTTTTTTTTTATATTTTTTTTATATATCACTAATTTGAGGAAGAGACAAAATACTCTTCATTTTGGTGGTGCACATGCAGCCACAGGGTCAAAAAAATAAATTTTTTTTTTTACATACAATAAGATTTCTTTGTTTGTTTTTAAATTAAACAAGCTTTTGATTATTACTATTATTATTTTTATAATTATTTCTATTATTATTTTTATTATTTTTATTTTTTTTTTTATTTTTTTTTTTATTTTTTTTATTTTTTTTATTTTTTTTTTTTGGGGTTGTATGGGTATCTGTGTTATTTTTTTCATATAAAAATCAAAAGAGATAATGGGATATTGCTTAAATATAGGAAATTTTAATGATTTTAAAAAAATACCATTTATGATAATTAAAATACAAGGGAAATAAAAATTAAAATAATGTAGAAATTATAAAAAAGATTCAGAAAAAATAATGCAATAGTAAATTTAAAAATTAGTTTTAAAATTAAGAATATGATAATTTCAATTAAAAATAAAAAATATTAAAATAAAAATATTTTAAATTAAAATAGAAAAAAATTGGGGTGAGGTATGAGTTTTATTTTGTTTATATAATCTATATTTATTTATTTATTTATTTAGTTATTTATTTATCTATTCAACTATTCAAAAAATAGGTATTTTTATAACGGTGATAAAACTTCCTATTAGTTTTATGACCGTAATCATATAATTCGATAAAATTTCATTTTCCTGGGGGTTTTTTGTGTTGTTTTTTGTTAAACGAGATTTTTAAAAAAAAAAATAAAAAATAAAAAGATTTTTTTTTTTTTTTTTTTTTTCAAGTAACAGAGGATAATCTTCAAGAAATTTTTTTCAAATAAATTATTTGAGTAATTATTAGGATATTATTTTTTTTTTTATTATTACCATTATTATTAATTTTTTATATTTATATTTATATTTTTTATTTATATTTTATGTTTATATTTTTTATTTATGTTTTATATTTATATTTTTGTTTTGTTTTAATATATTTTCCTATATAACATTGAACATACTTATTAAGTAATAACATTAAATTTATTATTTTGATTTTTTTTCTTTACATCATTTCCAAATTTTTTTGAGAAACCATTACATTATTTTCTAGATTGGTTTAGTCTTGATACCAACGATGATTTCCTTTTTAATACCCCATTTTTATAAATTTTTTTTTTTTTTTAATTTCATTCAAAATATTAAAAATAAAAAAAATTTATTGTTTCAAATTTTTTCATTTTTCATTTTTATTTTTTTTATTTTTAATATTTTATTTACAACACTTTACATACAATCATTTTAAGCAATAATGGGTTTATTGACAGTATTAAAAAAATTAAAACAAAAAGAAAAAGAATTGAGGATTTTAATGCTGTAAATATAATAATACTATCATATCACCCATTTTTAAATAAACATTATAAACTAACAACACAATAAAACAGTGGTTTGGATAATGCAGGTAAAACAACTATTTTAAAAAAATTTAATGGTGAAGATATTACAACCATCAGTCCAACACTAGGATTTAATATTCAAACTTTAATGTACAAAGAGTAAATATTTATAATTATAATCATAATAATAATAATAAGCATCTAATTTGTTTATTGTATTTCTAGATATAAACTAAATATTTGGGATATAGGTGGTCAAAAAACATTAAGATCCTATTGGAGGAATTACTATGAAGAAAATGATGCTGTTATTTGGGTTATTGATAGCTCCGATATAAGAAGATTTGATGACTGTAAATATGAATTAAAAAACTATTAGAAGAGGAGGTATGTTTTTTATTTATTTTTTTTAATATTATAAAAAGAAGCCCTATTGGTATTAATATATACTTTTAATCTCTTTAGAAATTCGCAGGTGCATCTTTTTTAGTTTTTGCAAATAAACAAGATTTAGATGGTGCTTTAAGTTGTGCACAAATATCAAGTGTATATATATTGGATAATTAACAATACTTTTTTAAAACAATCACATTAATCATCTTTTTATATTAGTATTTAGATTTAGAAGAATTAAACACACATCATTGGGAAATCAAAAGTTGCAGTGCAGTCACAGGCGAAGGCTTAGAGGAAGGCATTGACTGGGTGGTTAAAGATATAGTTTCAAGGCTATTTATTCTAGATTAACTATATATACATTTAAAACTAATTTATTCCACCCCTATTCCATTCATCATTTATATAGTTTTATAAGATTTATAAAATATTAAAAAATAAAATTGTAAATAAATTAATAACATTATTATTATTATAAAAAATATAATAATAACAACAACAATAACACCCAATACACCAATATTTTTTTTTTTTTATAGTTTTTTTAATCTATTTTTATTTTTTATTTACTATTATTATTTATTTTATTGCCATAAAATTTATTATTTATAAAAGCTTCCCATTCTTTTTTATATTTTTTATAAAGAATAACATTTAAAACTGTATCTCTTTTACCTGAGATATCCCATTTGTCTGGTGAGAATAATAATTCACGTTTAACTATTGATTTTAAAGAATCCTCAGAGTTGGTTTCTGGATTGAAAAATGTTGGGAATTGAGTTGCATCTCTTAATAACTTCTTTTTGTGGACCAATTTTAATGCTTTCAAGTCATAGGTTAAATCGTGACCAATAATAATTTTATTTCTAATAATTTTTTCGACCTGTTTTTGAATCTCTAAAAATTCTGCACCCTGTTTGTTGACTATATCTTTTGTTAAGCCTGTAAATTTACCTCTGCAATCTATAATTTTCTCCATTGGTTTGGAAATTCTTTCGTAAACAATTTCGCCATTTTGATTACAAATACAAATTTTACCTAATGCACTTTTATTGGTACCTTCAATTTGAATAATTTTACAATCGATAGAAAAAAAAGATGATGATTCATTACTATAGATTTAATTAATAAATAATTAGTAACAATAATAATAATAGTAATAAAAGCAAAACAATATTTGTACTTACATTTTACTTAATTCTTTATCTGATGGTACAACTAAATCACTATTTAATTCGATTGGTTCTATTTCATATTTATTACATAACTCATCAAAATCTTTAATATAGGTAATGACTTCTTCAACTTTTGTGCTTGTGTATGGTGTTGCTGATTTTAACTTGGCTTTAGTTTCTTTCTTTTTTTGGTATGCTGAATTTTTATTTTTAATCTTTTCTTTAATTTTATTCCAATTTGAATTTACTGGTGCTGTTTTAGTTACAGTTTTTGAAACTGTTTCTTTGGTAACTTCTGGTTTAATAACTTCAGTTTTTTTACTATTGTTAATTTGTTTTTTCATATTTATAAATTATAAATTATATGTTTGATTTGAAAAAAAAAAATAAAATAAAAAAAGGAAAAATAAAAAAAGAAAATAATTTTAAATTAATAAAAAAAAATTTTAAATAAAATTTTAAAAAACGAAAAAAAAAAAAAAAAAAAAAACGAAATAATCAATTAATAAAATAAACAATTTATAAATAAAAGAAACTTTTATATATATTTTCTCTTTGTTTTTTTTAATTAGTTTTTTTATTTTAAAATTTTTTTTTTATATATACAAAAAAAATAAAATTTTTTTTATTTTTTTTTTCTGATTAAATTATTTGTGTAAAGTGATTATTTATTTAAAATAATGTGATTTAATTATCTAATAACGTCTTTCAGTTGATCTATATAAAAGAGTATCTTTTTGGGCATCAGAGCTAATGACCATAATTAAAAGAATACCACCAACGACAAAGATAGTCATGACGATTGGGAAGAAAAGTAAGATTTGGAAAGCGGCAATTTTGTTAGTGATTTGAGTTTGGGTCATAGTACCATTGTTATTGGTTGGGATAACTGGGGTATCATCTTCGATTTCAGTTTCAAGCATGTGAATTGGAAGGGCAGAGTGAGTGTTACATTGGACTGAAAGATCTTTTAATGATGCTTTGAGTTGTTCACAAACTTCAGCGGCCTTATCTCCGAATTTTGGTAATAAGTAGATATGTGGAAGAGTTTCTTCAATATCGTATGTTTTTTCACCGACGATTTCTTCGATGGCATCGATTTGGTTTTGTGATAATTGGCTGGTTGGGGCAAGAGTAACAATTTCACAGGCAACACGTTCACCATAGATACCGCTTAATTGGGTGTAGGTGGATTCGATGGTTTGTTCAATCATAGCTAAAGCGAATTTGAAGAGGGTTGATGAGGCACCATCTTTTTGACGAATGGAGGCAATTGATGAGAAATCGAAACTGATGAAATCTGGAACTGAATCTAAAGCAAGTTGTTTGAAGTGAGCGTCTGATTTGATCATTTTAACAGTGTTGAAAACGGCAGCTAATTCAGAAAGGATGACTGATGATTCAAAGGTATCATAATCGATCTTGACAATATTACCATTGCTATCGGAAACTGAGAAAATACCAGAGTTCATTGAAGCTTTCCAGCCTGATGGTAAAATGAATTGTTGGAATTCTTTGGTGTAAAGGAAGGTTTCAATTTCTTTGTTTGATAATGATAATTTGTTGTTCTTTCTGACGTGGTTAATTGGTAAGAATGAACCAGTTGGACGGAGTGAATAAGTGTAGATATCTGATTGTTCGTAAATACCGTTTGAAATATCAACGTTGACACCAGTTGATGAAGCTAATTTCTTGCTGGCTGATTGTGAAATAATTAATGATTTACCATTGAAGCTGCTGTTAACTAAATAGGCAAGATTTGGAGCATTTGATTTGTTTGATTCAAAAGCATTGGTTTTTTTACCAGTTGGGTTTAACCAACTTGATGATGGAATACCATGGGATGATGGTGAAACACCAGTAACAATGGTATTTAATTCTGAAACTGTATCTTGAGTGAAATAGTTTGATTTAATATTGATCATTGATTCTGAGTTTAAAATTTTAGAATTAACTAAATCATCTATATTATTTTAAAAAAAAATAATTAGTATTATAATTATTAATGTATTATTTATAATTGTTATTAATATTATTAATTTATATTGTTATTGTTATTATTATTATTATTAATTATTATTTTGCTATAGATGCTAACCTTTTGAAACTGATTCAACTGAAAAGAATAAATTTAATTTTGGTTTGTTGAAAACTGAAACATTTGGTAATTCAAATTCAGCATTTTCGCTATTTAATGGTAAAAGACCCATAACATTTGAAACTAAATTTGAGACTTGAGTGTCATAAATATTTTTAATATCATTGTTTTCAAAAACTGAACCTTTTAAGAATAATTGTGAATTTTGTTTCTGTATTATATTAAATAACAATTTAATAAGAATTAGTATTTTGTATACTATCTATTATTATTACTATTATTTATATTATACATACGGCTTTTGGTTTAACAACGATTTGACCACTTTTAAGGTCAACAAAAGTAGCGGAGACTACTACCGATAAAACTAATAAAAGTAATAATAATCTCATTTTTTTATATGTTATATAAAAATATAAAAATAATAATAAATAATTTTTTAAAAATTTAAAAAAAAAAAAAAAAAATTTTAAAAAAAAAATTTAAAAAAAAAAAAATAATAAAAATTTTAAAAAAAAAAAAAAAAATTTTCTCGACTGGTTCAACCAGGCCAATATTTTTTTAATTAAAAATAAACAACAACAAGAAGTTTTCATTTTTAAAATGATTAACTCTGATGCATTTGGTTTAAAATTTTTTATTTACATTTTCTTTATTTAAAATTTTAATTTCCTTTTTTCAAATATCCAAATTATTAAATCATGCACACACCCACTAAACAATTAGAAAAATATTATTTAATTTTATAATTTAAAATGTACCGATGATTTCCATAAATGAAAAAAAATGGTTTGAAGATACACAGAATTTAAATAAAAAATATCACAAGTATTTAAAATACAAATAAAAAAAAGAATAAAGTAATAATTCAATTATTTTTGTTTAAATTTAAAAATTAGCTTTTATAACAATTTAAAATATCAAAACATACCAGCAATATTTGGGAAAAATAGTGTCAGGTTAAATTTTTATATGATGGCCAATTAATTTGTACAAAGATCATAAAAACAAATAAAAAGTTATATTTTATTTTTTAATTATTATATTTTTTTATTGTTTTTGTTTTACAATTATTAATTAGGGTTTTTTTTGTTTATTTTATTATATTTCGTTTTAAATTATTTGAACTGGTTTTATCTTAGATCTATTCTGTTGTATCTGTTAAGAGTTTTGATTTTATTGCATATCTGTTTTATTGCCTTTAAAAAAAAATGGGAATCTATCTTGAAATTTCATTTTGAATATTAAAAAATTAATATTAAAGAAAATATTTAAATTCAACATATTGGTATAAATAAAGGTGTTTAGATAATAAGAGAGCAATTGGGTTTTGTTTGCTAAAATATTGTTTCTATTATCTTTTTTTTTTTTTCTTTATTTTTATTTTTTTTTAAATTATTTTTTTTTTATTTTTAAAAAAAAAATTTTATTTTTTTATTATTTTTTTATTTTTTCAAATTAATTTTAATTTTAATTTATATATATTATTATTTTATGGAGGATCAGTTTTTATTTCATATAGAACCAATTGGAAAAATCGATGTAAATGGAATTAAATTAATTTTAAATCATACAGAGGTGTCAAATGAATATAATGATTCTGAAGAGACAACTAGTAGAGATGAGGATTCAGATAGTTATAAAAGCAATTCTTTGACAAGAAATGAAGGACCAAAATTAAAACCAAAACCAAAGTATAGTAGAGATGATGACAATGATGATGATGATGATGATGAAGATATGGAGGATGAGGATGGTGATGAGGATTCAGACTCTGAATATTCAGATATTAAAAATGAATCAATCATTTCACCAATATCAACACCAACTTTAACATCACCATCATCGACTTCATCAGGCGAAGTTGATAACTGGTTATCTAAAATGTCGGCAGATATAACATCAGATGGACAGATAATGGTAATGGGTGGAGGCGGCAATGGTGCCATTGGTACTGGTTTAGCATTGGTATTACAAAAAAGAGCAAACTCTAATGAATGGAGAACGACCATCACACTAGACCACCAAACACAGAATGGAACCGATAGAATTACTTCAATTCAATTTATACCAATAGATTTGCCACAACTAAGCTATGTTATTGGCATTGGTTATGCATCTGGTTATTTAAGGGTCTTTTCAATTGTAAATAGAATCTTATGAATAATACTATTGTTACAAGTTTAATCATAGTTACTAATGTTTAATCTTTTTATTATAGCAAGGTAATTTATTATTGTCTCAATTATTTTATAATAAACCAGTTTTAAAAATCAAAGTTTCAAATAGTCCAACATTACCAATTGGAGAAATAAATCACATACAAAAATATAATGTTAATGAACTAACATTGATATACCCCGATAATGTAATTGTAAATATATCCGGTATAACCTTTTTATCTGTAGTTCAAGTATGTTTTAATCAAATTCAAAGAGGCGGGGGCGGGGCAAATAGCGGAAATAATAACCTATCATATAAAAAGTGGACTATGGCAAGTTCGGTAGATACAGTCAACGACGTCACATTTTGTGGACCATTTTTAGGGTCACCATTCAGAGCATTACCATATAGTACATCAGAGCAATCAATGGTAAGATTAGTGGCAGTTGGTAGTAATCCAATGGTATCATACTACTATCCAACTGAAGATGGTGGATCAACATTTTCAGTTATGATATCATCGGTTGCATCACGTTTAACTACAGCAATGTTTTCATATGCCAAAAACTGGTGGGGCGGTGGTTCATCCCAACAACAGCAACAACAACAACAGGAAAAGCAACAACAAGAGCAAGAAAGACAACAACAATTAAAATTACAACAAGAAAGACCAGTACCATTATTACAACGTTGGGCAATTTCAGATTATAAACGTGAAATTCAAACAATACTACGTGATCCCAGTGGGAGATATGCCGTATGTACTGATAATATTGGTCGTGTACTACTATTAGATTTGGTTAATAGCTTAATAGTAAAACTATGGAAAGGATACCGTGATTGTCAATGTGGTTTTATAAATGTAACAGAAGAAAATCAAACTGATCAAGAAATTGATATTAAAAACAATAATAATAATAATAATAATAATAAAAACACATCAGCCAATGAATCAGAGGATTTAGAAGATTTCATACCTAGAAAGCTTTTAAAGAAATCAACAAATGCTATACAATCACGTACATTTTTAGTAATATATTTGGGCCGTAGAGGTATTTTAGAAATATGGGGATTAAAACATAGATCAAGAGAATATTTTAAAACAATTGGTCAAGGATGTAAATTAGTATCAACTTTAATACCATCACAATTTCAAAATATCAATACCAACAATATTAGAAAAAGTGGCACAAATATAAATTTGCAAAGTTACAGTATAAGCGAAGGCCAATCCCATTGTTTTATTTTATACCCAGATGGCTCAATTAAAGAGATTAGATATAAAAACTAATAAACAAAAAAAAAAAAAATATATAAATTATAATTTTTTTATTTTATTTGTTTAGTTACTTGCTATTTAATTATTTGTTTATTGTTTATTTTTATTTAAACTGTTTACATAACATGGTTAGGATTTAAAAGTCGATAACAATGTTGAATTAAATTCTATTTTTTGATGTACACGAAACAGAGTATTTTATGCATTTGGGTAATAGTCCTTTTAAGTCAGGGCAAGATAAAATTTGATTAGCCACCTAATTCTTCTGTGGGGTCATATTTTTGAAAGAGTTTGAATAAAAAAAATAAAATAAAATAAAATTAGAAATTTTTTAGAAATTAAAAATATTAAATAAATAAATCAAAACTAAAAAATCTAAAATTAAAAATTATTTATTTATAAAATTAAATAGTTTCGATATTAAAATTTTACCTCCATTTTTTTTAAAAAAAAAATTAATTTTAAATTTTAAAAATGGCATTCTATAATTTTTTAAGAATATAACATCTTTTCCGATTAAAACCTGTTAATTTAATTAAATACGATAAAGCTAAGATTTCATTTAAAAAAAAAAAACAAAAAAAAAAAAAAAAAAAAAAAAAAAAAAAGGGACATATAAAAAAAACTGCCAATTAATTAAATATTCATATTAAAAAAAGACTCCATTTATCCAAATTATGATAAAATTAAAAAAATTAATCATTTTTTTTTTTTTTAAATTTTTTGAAAATAATTTTTTATTTTTTTAATTTTATTTTTTAAAATTTTTTTTTTTTTTTTAATTTTTTTTTTTAATTTTTTCATTTTTCATTTCTTTTTTTAAAAAATAATTTATCTTACAACACACACCTACTTATACATTTAAACAACAACAACAGCAATAAAGTGTAACTATTGTATAAATATACATTTATTTATAAATTAGTTTGTTTACCATTATTTTTTAATTTTTTTTTTCAAGTTTATTTTCTTCAAATTTTAATTATTTCTAAAAATATTACACTTAAAATTTAAATTATTGTTTTTTTATTTTTTTTTTGTTTTGTTTTATTTTATTTTATTTTGTTTTGTTTTGTTTTTTTACACCCATTTAAATTACAAATTAATTAAATAAATCCCCCAAACAAATATTTAGTTTATTTCTTTATTTTATTTTTATATGTGATTTCGAAAAGTCATGATATAAATTTATTCGAATATATCAGAATAAAATTAAAAAAATAAAAAAAATAAAAAAAAATAAAAAAAAAATAAAAAAGAATAAATAATAATAGATAAATAAATAAAATATTTAATTAAACTTAATAAATTATTTGGCCCAAGAAAAAAAAAAAATTTCACTAGTTTTAATAATCACAAGATTTTGTTTTTTTTTTTTCAATAGTACTCAATTTCAGTAACTGCTCAAAAATTATTTTAAATTTTTTTTTTGGATTTTCATTTTTTTTTTTTTAAATTTTTTTATAATTTTTTTTTTTAAATTATTTTTTTATTTTTTTATAACATTTTATTAATTTTTTTATTTTAAATTTATAGCATATCAAAAAATTTATATATAGATA